CATGGGGAATTTTGTACATCGTGCAGCCTGATTGAATCTATGCATTGTGACATTTATAAGAAGGTTTCCAGATTATCTGCAGTGCAACAGGGAGAGGAATTAAGAGAGAAGTGCAAGAATTAACTGACACATCAACTATTATTTTCTTGACTGAATGGAGTATGTTAGGAAATGATCTCCAGTGTATGGTGCCACTGTAGTGAATATTTGTGCTGTGATATTAACACCTTTTTATACACTCTAGAGTGCCTCAGAGATGAGAAACTGTCTGACAATTTCTAAAGCAGATATTTAGAGGCACTTGGATCCATGTAAGGCCCAGGAAATGGGCAATCAAGGATTGAAGCCAACTTTATGTCTTGGAGAGCAGCCATCTTACAATTCACTGGATTTCTGCACAAAAAGGGGCAGTTTCAAGCTGTGCTTTGTTATTTTTTTGAAGAATCTTAGACAAAGACTTTCCTCACTATGGACTCCTCATTACCTCATGATCTATGCCAGAAAAGCTTCCTATAGGGCGGTTTAGCTCACCTCATGGGATCATGGCACAGAAAGGCATATTCCCCTAAAGGTAACAGATCAGTATAGTCTTTGTCAGGATACTTGTAAATTTTGTCTGAGTATTTTTGAGACTGAAAACTGGGCTGAATCAAAGTTAATGAGAGGTTTCAATGATTGGTTTCAATGATGCCAGGGTTTCAACCCAGATATCTGAAGAACAGGAACGTCCTACTGCTTCCGAACACTGTACCAATAGTATTAGAGAGAAACCTCAAAGACCTCAAGATGTCTGTCAGCCTGGTTTCAGTTGCAAGCCTCCTGACCACAAAGGCCAGTGAACTTCAATGTACTCTTAGACTGCAAAAAACCCAATCACTGCAGAAGAGGGGTTAGAAGAGACTGCGGACTAACAGACATCACTTTTCTGTGTTGTCCTGTACAGATTTATAGGCCATGAATTTGGTAGCATTAATCAGTAGTATTACTTCTCCCTACAGACATTGCCTCAGAAGTGTGTAATATTCTGGTAGGAAAGTGAAGTGGTGATTTTAACCGTTCTTAAAAGATCACAAGGAAACCATATTTTTTTGTTTTCAGATGTATTTATTATTAGGTCCTTTGTAAAACAAGCATGGTAAATTGCATTTATAGCAGAAATAAGATGCATACACTTAATAAATACTAACAGCACTTGTAGCTAGATTATCAACATTTTTCTGTAATAAATACTAACAGCACTTGTAGCTAGATTATCAACATTTTTCTGAAATATCAGATACTTCCCACATTTCAATGTTTAAATATCTTAAATTACCACCCATTTCTAAGACTGGAAAAAAAAGGAAGCAAGGATTAAGGCCTAAATTGTCAAATACATTTTAATGTATTTTGCCCTCCTGAAAGTCAGGACTTAGGTGATTTGGCAAAAATGAACAGGCTTCAACACATGCTTCTGCTTCTTTCCAGACCTGGGGACTTACACTGTAAGCAGTTCAGAACCACGATTTGAGGTTTTTTTTCCTAAGATTCTTTAAGGACACCTAGGACATGTTCAAGTAGTAGGGAAATACTTTTAAAATTAACTATAAAAATACATATTCTAAAACTCTAACTTCGATTAGATGTTTAACATCCACATATAAAACCAGTTACCAAATGCTCTCTGAAATATCAGATACACTGCAGTTAAACTTTTAAATAATTGAAGCTGCCTTCGTTTCAGTTGCAGATTCCTGACTACTTGTGCTCTGTGGTTTTGCCTGTGGCACAGCAGGTCTGAACTAATTTTATTGTCAGAAAACTCCACTGCAAGAGATGCACTGAGTACACACAGGTCACTGAATATAGGGCCTCTAATGGTCACAAGCATGAAAGAAATGGAGTTTGGTTTAGAAGGTGTTATATTTAGTTATTGGCTCCCATTTCCCTTCCTGCTCATGAACTGTGGTAACAGGACTCCTCAACCACAGCACCTTAAAGCAGCCTCCACGCCAGCACTCCTGTTGCTTCCACTGCAGCTTGGGTTCAGCTGGAAGTGTAGGGCTTTGAGAGTGGTTGATTTTATGCAACAACCATTTGCAGTGTTCACCAGCTGGGCATCAACATGATGTAAGCAATGACAGCTGACAAAATGCAGCAGCGAACATTTTTAGGACTCTGAACTTGCAATTCCTTCTTTTACTAAAACATCTGCCATCAGACTGGATGATGAGGATGGCCCTCATGCATAGCTGGCTCATGCAGCCAAGGCTTTCTATGCTGATGCGTCTCAATAATAAATTGATAAATAATAAACTGATAAATTAAACAAACAAATAAATAAAATAATTAAAACAGTTAAATAATGGACTACTAAACCAATTCTTTCAGTAAGTTACTTTCCAAATAAATTAACACAGTTTGAATAGCAACTGCCATCATCTGGCATTGCAAGTCATGTCAAGTAAATAAATAATAATAAATAAATAAATAAATAGGCGGATAAATAAATAAATAAATAAATATATAAATAAATGCAATACAATAATATGCAGAACCTTCAATAACAGATGACAGCAATGTATCAAAATACTAGACATGTTAATATAACATGATGTATGCTAAAGGTGTTACTCAAATCTGGGGAATTGAGAAGAGCTGCTAAAGTCAGGACCCTATTACTCTAATATAGAAAAGATATGGCTTCTTGTTTATCTCAAATGCATATTTTTCTTCTAATTATGCTTATGTTTTTGTGCTAATTCATTCTTTGCTTTCTTTAGGAGCATTGTGCCAGTCTTCTAGAATCTCTTACTGGTTATCTGTAAGATAAGAGAAATGAAATTTACATAAGAATTATCTTTATTTTCCTCAGACCTAGATTTTCAATCTCCTCTCTCTCTTTCACCCTCTTTCTCTTTTTACTGGTAAAACTCACCTGTATATGGAGTGTCTGTTGTATTTGGACACCCAACATTGATTCATAAACTATCAATTAATAGGAAGGATAAAAATCAGCATGAGTTACTCTAGCAATGGCCAAATGATCATATATTTCTTAAAGAGTACTTTATAATTGCCTAGTTGGGCAGAAACCTACCCATGTCACTGAACCTACATCCATTGTTTCCTCTCTGATTTAAATGGATTCTAATTTTTTCCTCTCTCTCTCTCTCTCTCTCTCTCTTTTTTTTTTTTTTTTCCCCCCCAGGGAATCATCTTTTAGACAGCCCAGTACATTTACATGTTTATACTCTTACAGACATTTCATTTTAAAATGTTCAGGAGACAAAAAACAGTTATGAGGAAATGTGAAATAAATGAGTATTTAAGAAGCAGAAGTTCATAGACTCCTTACTCTCCTAGGTAAGGAATCATCCCTGCCCCTCCAGTAGAAGGTTCTTTAATTCTCACCTGCAAAGTGAGGACCACTCACTCCAGGATGAATTGTAATAGCGATCCCTGGCCTGCACGGAGATCTTGTCTTCTGGCCCAGCTGTTGGAATCTGCATAGACTGCTCATCAGTATCATAGACCTATGAACAGGGCACAGCTCCATCAGCAGGTTGTAAAGGCAAGCAGGACATACAGTACCGTGCCACATAGATTCCAACAAGCACGTGTAACTCAAAAAACCCGCCGGTAGTCTGTTGTTTCAAAGGCACCACCAATCTTCACCCACAGATACCAAAGTCATGAGGACTTTTGAGAACTTGAGACTCGGTAGAAACAAACTAAAAAGCCCACTTTCCAATGAAGTTGGTGCTGCAGAGTGGTCCAAACCCCAACCTGAGCGTCATTAAAACAAAGGGTTGATTTGATTATCTGGGTTTTTATCTTTTTTTTTTCTTCCCCCAGAGTGGGAACCCTAAAAGACAGAAGCTGCTGCTTTTCAGTATCGTTGAAATTTCCACTGAGGACTTGTGGCTAATACAAGAAGCACTCCGTAGCCTCGCCAGTTTCTTTACCTAATTGTACAAGACAACTCTACTAAAACCGAGGAGCCAGCACTAGGAGAATGGCCCCATCTGCTGGTACAGGCTTGCTTATTTTTTTCACAGAGAAAAAGACATCCTCTAGTGTCTTTGGTTTAATCAGTTGTCAGACTGAAATGATCATTACATTTGTTTACTTTTTGGTTGCTGGACCAAAGAAGAGCAGCACTGCAGTGAAGGACCTGCCCTGTGGTCAACTGGTTTGTGTGCCAGTTCTGCTGCTGCTTTCCTTCCCAAACTAGGCAACTCGCCATCCTGCTGTCACGCACCCTTTAGTGTATCCATGCATATTAGCAAGGGACTCAAACCCATTTAGTGATTTAAAGCTAACACAGAGTAGCAATGTTTAGTTAACAAATAACTAATAACTGGAAAGTGAGTGGCAAAGACTACAGACTCCACAGAAATGCTACCAAATGAGTCACTGATTCCTTATTTGCCAAATCACCTATAAAGAAAGTCTGAGCTACCGAGGTACAAAAAAACATACAAGGAAAACAGTGCAACAGATCCTAGACTTCTTGATTTGGAAATTGGGATTTTCCCACATTAGGACCCACACAGCCTACTAATGCATTAGTAAATACTTTTCTCATGCTAGCACAGCTATGCAATGCTGGGCACAATTTTATCTCCCCAGTTACAACAGGGTTGCATCCACAGTGTGTTTGGATCTTACTGCTCATAGAACTGGGAAGGAGGTCTTTTTCTGCCAAGACAGAACCTTGCCATATTTGGGTCTTGGCACCTTTTTTTAAAAAGCTTTTAGTCCATGGTTCTTGCATACTAAGTTTGTATTATTTATACTGTCTGTTCAAGGAAGAAAATTGTATTTCAAGTGTTGTATCTCTACCTGGCTTTCATGTTTCTTCGTACTTTCAACTTGGACCCTGAAAGTCAAAGGGAAGTATGACTTTGGTGTGCTCCATGTTCTGGGATATGTCCAGGTCACTGTTCCATTTGTGGTCACATACTGACATTGGGGTGGGTCGGGTTTTACTGCAAGAGAAAATATAGAAGGAATTAATTCACATTAGCTGTACAATATCAGATGTTGGTGTACTACTGTTGATAGTTTTATAGGAATCAGCTTTGGGAGCCTCCATGAGACTAAGAGAGGAGCAGGCATGATGTGCAAGAACTGCCTTGTACGCTTCTTATGGAAAATTAAGCACTCTCCCAGAGACTCTCTGAGTAAGATCCTTCTTTTTTTCTGTCTGGAGAGTGGCAGAGGGCTCCGTTGGACACCGAGGACTATGTTCAGCCCTTGCAGACTGTTAAGGCATTTAGCAAAACATGTTTCTTTAGCATGCTGCTTCATTTTCCTGTGCCCTGTGGCATCATGGTCACAACTGGTCGTCTCATTTCCTGTCAGTTTCTAGCAAGCTGCCCTTGATGCCCATCTGTAAGAACAGGGCAGGAGAGAAGCATACACAGCATTAACCATTATCTGAATAACTCTGCAGTTCTCAGAGAAAAGCCTGGTGGGTTATTGTTTTTTTGCTGACTTCTCCCACATACAACTTCCAAAACATGTCCATCTAATAGAGAAGGCTACAGAAACTTCTGGGAGATGTGGGAGTGAGAGGGTTGGAGGTCACAAGCTAGGGAGATGTTGCTTCTTCACTTCCTCATCCTCTTCCGGACTGCTGCTATGATTTGTTTTCCCCTGTTCCTGTAACTGGAGGCTTGATACAGATTTACAGTAGAACAGGGCAGGGATTCCCAAGCTTGGTTTGATCAGCTACCATTGTTAGTTCCACTATCAGCAGTAAGAATAAAGCTAAGAATTAATCATGATTCCTGGTCTACTCACTGATATCCCTGATGAAGAAGCTGCTGGTGTAGTTCTCATATTCCACCTCGTCAATGACCTCCAGGAACATCTCAATTGGTTGGTGCTCTTCAGCAAACGGACAGTAGTTTTCTATCTGGCATTGGGCTCTATATTCAGTATATTCAGTCACTGATAGATCAGTATGAGCTACAGGGCTGCTGCAGGTTACGTCTCCTTGAGAACTGAATAGAGAACAGAGAAAAATACTGGAAATGTTGGTTTGTTCTGAGAATTTCTTGCCACAGTGATAACATGCAGTTAGTAAGGTAATGTTTTGATGTTGCCTGTATCATTTTATGGCTGCACTTCAACAGTTGCAGAAACAGTTCAGTGGGAGTTCTATCTCATTTCTTATTATCACTGTCCCATGACAAGCATACCTTAGCCTTTTCCAAAACCTTGCTGGAAGAAATAAGGGAAGGTTAAAATGTATCCATTGGGAAATAAAAAACCAAAAGCTGTCTATAAATTACTACCTGAATCTGGTTCTATTTTTGCATTCAGCAAAATAAAACACTTTGCAGTTGTTTCTTTAACAAATTCAAGTGACCTTTGTTCAAGCACTCCATGTTTTGGAGAAAACCCCAAGAATAGTGGGAGGTAGGAAATCCCCACAAGGTTCCCCTCACATATTTCCCTCACAGGTTTCTGTAGTGTTCCTTAACAGAGACTTGTCAGTGGACATGTGGCTTTTGCAGTGGGTGCAGCCTCCCACTCCCTTAATTCCGCTGGATCTGCTGTGAAGGGACTCAGTGCTATAATTGTTTCTGCTTTTGGCTCAACTTCCTCTCTCTCCCCTGCATAAACTGTTTTTGCTATTGCTTAAGTTATTCTGTGGCTGTACTGTAGCAGCTGTAACAGTCCAGTGGGGGTTATTCCATTTTCAAGTCTTTATTAATTTCAGAGCAACTTCCATGCCCTTATTAGTTGTTAGTCCCAGTGATGACTCAAAACATTTTGCAGATATTCAGACTCTGAAAGTGGGATTCCTCACTTTCTACACATCTTCAATAGCCTAACACCCAGGATCTCCTACACAGAGTAACACAAAGGACTGTTCTGGCCTTACTATGAGGTTGTTAAGGAAAGTACAAGCTTTTACCCTTTTAGACTTCTGATTGTGAACTTCACATTTGGACTCTCATTTTCTGTCATCCATGAACATATGAAAATTCCAGAGTAGTTCTTTGCCTCACATTTTAGAAACGTCCTGTTTGGCTCTACATGGAAAAAGAAAGAAAACGTGATTTGTTTACTCTTTTTGCCAAAACAGTAAAAGCAGAAAGAAAATAGACTCCCAATTCAATAGACTCCCATCTACTTTGGCAGGTGGTAGGTGTGTAGGCAGACACAGCCTCATACTGCCACTTGGGCAGCCACCTGTAGTTAAAAACCCGTATAACACACAGTGGCTGAAGGCTGGTTTACATGGCACCACGTTAACCACTTCTACATGGTTAATGACCGGAGCTAGAGCATAGCCAAGCTGTTGCAAGATAGCTGCCAGTAAGAGATTTATAGACAAATCCATTGTTCCTTTCACAAAGAAACATTGCAGCTATTCAGCTGGCAAACCTCTTTATTTGTTACCCCACACATGAGAGTGTACGCAATGGATAATCTCACACCTTCACACACTGGGGCACTTGATGGGGGATGTTTCCAGTGTAAGAAGTGAATGAGGCCTCAGTATAGGTGTGTGTTTTGTTTCTGCTGCCCAGCACTGCAGACTCCCAACAACTCTATATTGTACCCTGGACTTAGCTGGCTACTGCATCTGATATGTGGAACCAAGAGCTGGGGGAAAAGCCTTGGAAATTCTAAGTTCCTGGCACTATAGTGAGGGAATGTAATATGAGACACAGATGAGTGAGGTTCATGCAGCAAATGCAAAACATCACAGGCTTATCCCAGTGGGTTAATTGTGAATGGAGAAGCCTAAATGGCAGCACTTAAAATCTAGGTCAGTCCCTGGTTCTGTCAGATCATGTGGCCCTGGTTTTTCAAACCCTTTCCTGAGTGCTGGGTGTGTGAAATGGAGGCAAAGCAAGTCAATTGCTCTCCCACCAGAAAAGCAGTGATGTGTTATTGACGTTATCCAGTGTCTAATAATTCCTACCATCACTCCACACTCCAGGTCTAGAGAGTCCTAAATTAATCCCATGGCACCCGATTCCTATGCTGCTCATCAGCTGCACCATATACAGACCCATCAAAGTAATCATTTGCCTTTCACTGTTAGTAAAGCATTTGAAGAGGACCCATTCTGAAGTGGATATTTCTCATGCACTTCTCCAGAAAGCTCCCTCTGGTCCTCGCAGAGCTCTAATGCACTAAACTGAGCAAGATATATCACATCATCCTATGACAGTACCTTTAAAGCTTTTCAGAATTGACCTTATCATTTGCCCATTGGAGTCTATTTTAGTTATGAGGAAGAAATCATAACTGATGATTTCATGAGTATTAGCTGTCAGACAGGTGTAGTTGCCAGCATCTGGGAACTCTTTCACTTCGGCAATCAGAGTCTTTCCAGTTCCTTTCAGTTCGGTGCCCTTTTTCCAGTAAACTGGCAGTGCTTCATCAGATGTGTTACAGGTGAGCTCCAGTCTTTTAGCTGGTGTCTCATCATTCCATTCTGATTCAATGACGTACACTGGACATTGTGGAGAAAGACATGTTAGCAGCTATTCATACTTAACAGTGTGAAGATTGAACTGAGCCCTTCTTTTCAGGTCTACTCTGCAGGAAAACTGCTAATAAATCTCTGGCTTTCTTTCCCAAGGCCTCACCATCACCTGGAGATCTTTATTATACGAAGAGGTTTGACTTAGAAATTTACAGTGTATCTAGAACCTGCTGATCAATAGGGATGACATTTTAATGGAAGAAGTGATTCTTTTTCCCATTTTCCTAGAGAATCTTACAGCAATTCGTAACATGGGAAGTAGGCAGGTACCTTTGTTTTAAAAGTGATGATGCCAGGACACACTGAGCCCAGGTATTCCTCCTGCACATGACCTGTGGCCTTTGCTCACAGAATGGTGTGTAAAACCACCCTGTACTATGGTGCTTTGCTGTGGTGGAAAGCTGTGACACTTTCCCCTCTTCAGTGTCAAAAGTCTGTGAGTGACCAAGGGAAGGAGGGGAGCTCTGGGTAAGTGGTTTGTATTTGCCTGTAGCTGATGCTTTTTCCATTTTCTGCAGGGAACAATCTGTACTCCTATCACCCTCGTCCCAGGGGAGCAATTACTAAGAGACAGGGGATCTCTGAGCTACAGCAGAGCTAAGTGGACTGCAACAGGGAGATGTGGTTTTCTAAATGCCATCTCATAACTCTGAAGTGCCCCGTTAGTCTTTCCAAATTAGAAGACACACCACATAACAAAATAACTTGGAACAACCCCATTAAAGAAACATTATCTTCTCTTGTCTCTTTGCTGTGGTTGGCTGAAGAACTTCACCTGCACTTCTGTGTGGCAACAGTTCTCGAATTTAACTGTCATTTCACAAATATACTACTGCTGTCATATGCTCCCCAGCCACATTCAGTGCCCTCAGAGCCTCTTCCACATGCAAGAAGTGGCAAAAATTTGTTTCTCAGTGTGTCAACACCACAGCAAACACTCAGCTCAGGAAATCAGAGTTCCAGTGAGCTCTACAACCTTCTCACCAGAGCATTTCTCTGTCAGAATGAGAGCTTTAAGACTTTACCACAAAGAAGAAACACGAAGAAATACACGTCAACTGCTGAATCTAAAATGGCAGAAAACATGCAACTCTAGGAAGCTTGGAAGCTTATCAAACTGCTTATGAATATTTGAAACACAGGCAAGGTAAATCTTGCAGTCTTCAAACACAAAGATTATTCTCAATACTGACAAACACTTGCAGTTTTCAGCACCATGATATTGCCCAGGGAACCCGCGGGATACATAATTTTTTAAATGTAAAGATACAAGGAAAAGTAATTTAATTACTTTTTACATATAAAACACAATCAGGTTGAGAATACTTTTCTCATGTTGATTAGGGTCCCTCTTTCTGGATAATTGCACTGAAGACAGCCTGGATTATGGAGCTACACTGAGTGAATAAGAACAGCAAATTTGATTATCTGAATTTAGCCCTATTTTCTGGTAAGTTATTCAAAAGATTTGTTTGTTTATTGTTGACCCTGTATGTTTACAAATGTATTTATATTTTTTTATGAGAAAAGTTGGAAAAACTAGTTTTGGGTTTTACTGTGAAATATTCTTTTTGACAATTAAATCTTCACTTGTTTGTTTGTGGGCTGTTACCTAAGTCACAAGATACTGTTTCTGCTTCCAGACTGCATGACTGAAACTTTTGAAACAAGAGAACAGGGAATAGGAAATAACAGAGGGGTTTTAATGCAGATATTCAGAATGGCTGTTGTATGACATTTTAGAAGTTCTAAATATTTTTTTCCATTAATACCAATTAGTTGCCTAGTTATTCAAAACAAATAGGAAGAACCTTGGCCTAAGATACTATAGTTAAAAAATTCTGTGCTTGTGGACACAAGTTTAATTCTGAAATGCCCTCATGTCCTAGTCAGCTGTAGGTCTCAGTAAGTGAAAACTGCTTACCATTTTCCCTCAGTTTCCACTGTGCTTCCAGAAGGGCAGCAAAGGAAAATAATGAAAGTAAGGCAAATAGTAGGTGAGACATCTGTAGGGAAAAAATAAATTACTAAATTTCGTTGAGGATTGTTGATTGTATACTGAAATTGAACTCGATGCAGGACAGGATAATGAGAAGACAGAGTCAGTTCCATTGAACTAAGAAACATTCTCCATTCTAAGAACTTTTAGATCACGTAAAAATTGAATATCAGATTTGTACTAGAGTTCAAGCCCAGATTTTGATACGCTTGTTATTCACACTGCAAACCAGTTTAGAGAAGAAATCACAAAAATTAGAGGAAATTGTTGTGTGTGTAGGTCTTATACGGTCAGGAGCTCAGGAGCATTCCCATGCCCCTCTGTTAAATGTTCCTCATGCAAGAGAAGTCCTGCTGATGCCAGTGAGTCTAGTTGCATGAACAAGGCATTGGGCTTAAGACTCAATGGACATTAAATTTCAGTCATACAAAGCTTGTGAGTGTATTCCTTGGTTTAAGCATGTCAGTAGTCCCATTAAAACAAAGGATTGCGAATGAAATGAAGGACCTTCTGAAGTGTTTTGCTGGACTGTAGTCTTCACCCAGCTCTGTGAGAACAGGTGACAGCAGTGCCAGTAATGCAGTGTGGAGCTGGCATCAACACTGACACTTGCCTCACTGGCACAAGTTATAGTATCCACCTGATGTTGCATAGTCTTAATCAATTTTGCAAGCAATTTCAGGCAAAATTCTTACTGGATTCACTACCACAGCTGTATTTGCAGAAACGGCTGGATATGTATATCGTTGCTGCTGTGTTTGATACATATACTATATCTCACTGGAGAATATATAAGTATATAGTTCTATATACAATATATAAATGTATATTTGTCCTGAATTCAAAATATGTCTAGAGCTCTTCATGAAACACAAAACATTTGCCAAATATTGTAGTAAGCACTGGGTGCATAAAAATCTTTAACAACAGTTATTCAGGTACACTTTGAGACTCTTTTCAACTGGAGATGAAGCCAAATGAATAGGAGTATGACCTAGAAAAAGACATTAGTGAATATATCTTTCAAAGTCTATTCTAACTACAATGGGAGTCTGAATGCACAGGAAAAACACAAAACTAAGTGGTTTGGTCTTTTTTCCCCCCCAAACCATACTTTTTCAGCAAAAAGGGAGTAGTCGTCCTGATTTCTTCTCATGTGCTATGAAACATTTTCATTTCAGTTTATGGAGAAAGAGTATGTGTGCATTTCTGTATGCACCGAATCTGTATGCACAGATCCGGGGCATACAGCAATACTCTCTTTCTGTATGCACCAAATTACTCACTGGCAGCCCCTGCTATTAATAGCATTCCTTAATCTTGACCAGAAATCAGCTGGGTCTGGACCAATGCCAGGAAAGCGTGCCATCTGATTCTGTACACCGCACAGCACAGCTATTAATGGGACCAGAAACTACAAGTGTAGTATCTGGAGAGTATCTAGAAGAAGAGCCAGCTCACATTGCACCTGTACTCAGAGAGAGGCATGAGCATCAGTGAAAAGTCAGATGCTATGAAGCAGCCTATCATTGCTTCATTAAAAGGCAAACACTAAGCTAAGATCTCCTGGTGATTTTCTACTGCAGGCAGGATTACCTGTCATTTGCGAAAGAAAATACATTTTGCAACTTTCTGAAAGATGCTAATTTCTTTCATTGTAACATAGCATTCATCACTACGCTTCGTAAAAGCAGTACCTGAAATATTGACCAAAACTTGGATGAGAAGGGTGTAAAACATGCCTTCTTTTCCTTATCAACCTTTCATCAAAATTGAAATCTTGAAAATAGTAAAGTTTCTCCTGGTTTTAGAGAGAAGCTTCACAATTCAGGTTTTTGATGAAAAATGTTAACAATTTTCATGAAAAAAATATTCAATTTTTGAGATGGTGGAAGACCTCCCCCTCCCCTCATCTCAAAATTTTATTGAAAAATTAATCAGAAATAAACTCAGTTTCTGAACATCACTAATCAGTGCAGTTGCTCAAGCACTTAATAGATGAGGAGAGTGTATCAACATCGTATGTTCCCTGTGATCTGGAGCATGAGCCGCTGTAAATCAGCACAGATTCCTTCACTGAGAATCACTGAATAATTTAGGTCAGAAAGGACCTCTGGATGTCATCTGAACCAGCCCCAGCTCAAGGCAGGGCCAAGTCAATGGTGCTGCATGTTTTTTTAAAACAGAGAGCAATCTGACTATAAATGCAGATTTGTTGATGCACACACCTCAGCAACATGAATATTGGTAAGTTACAAAAGATTATTGCCTTATAACATTAGCTGTTCTGTTAGATACCAATTCTATGAGCTATGTACATATATACATTATGTGCCTAACTTCAGGCACGTAAGCATATAAATACTCTCCTGAGAAAAATGCCATAACAACTATTTAAATACACTTTTAATTAAAGAATTTTAAGTTTTCAACAGTTTTATCTGAAGCAGCTAGTACCAGACTTGTGCTTCCCCAGTGTTAGAGAAGAAATGAATTCTCACCTTTTCCCGTGATGCCTGTTAGCTGAAGTTGCCAGGCAGGTTGGTTTTGTGATCTGAAGGAAGCAAAGTGCTGGCTCCCTTATAAATACCTCTAAACTCCGAAAGGAAAGGGATGCTCCGTTTCACCGCAATACCACAGAATTGCAACACGTGGCTTGAGTTCCTTTTTTACATAGTGGCAGAGCTAAAGCAAAAAAAAAAAAAGTTTGGGACTCCCAGGTAAACTTTAAAGAGGAAATGAGATTATGAGATTGTTACAATGACCTTTATGGTATGCCAAAGGCATTTCCTTTCCTGCTTGGTTTTCTGTCTCTCTCTCATACTGCCTGCTCATCATCTGAGGAAGAATAAATACAGACTAAATAAACTTCCAAAATTGTCTGATGGGAAATACATTATGAAGATAGAAAGTGAAAGTTTAATAAACTAAATCTATTTCTACCTGGTAAGCACCAAAGAGATAATTACATTAAGTAAAATCCCAGCTACCACATCAATCAGAAGTAATCTAAGGAAAAATGACTTTTTAATTGCTGTTTTAGAATTTTATTTATTTTATAAATTGAGATTTAGGTCAACAAAAAATAAACAATTAGTTCTTACTCAGAGATAAAAACTTGAGATTGTCACACTTTTTGTGTTGCAGTTTTAAAATATAACCTATTGTTTTTTCTTTATAAACTGATGTTCCTTTTGGACCTATACTCAAGCATAAAAAAGCCCCAAACATAGCATTTTTTTTTTTAAATTATTTGTGAAATAATAGATAACAATTCACTTCATTTGTCAGGCAAACCAAAACTGAGTTGTTCTTCTAGCCCTGTTCCAAACCTGAATAAGGTGACTGAAAAGTTATAAGCAAGAAGAAATACATTGTTTATAAAAGAAAAAAAAAAAAAAGTTTGAAATTCAACCTGACATGCTTTAGGAATTCATAAATAGACACAACACTATCCTGTGTGCATTCTAGTGACAGGAGTATTCCCACAGCCCAGAGGTCAAAGCTATGATGTAGTGATCAGTCCAGCAACGAAAAGATGATGCCTGTCCCTTCTGCTGTAGTCAGTGGTCTCTCAGAAGCGCTCCACACAGATGAAACAACACAAGCATCTGCAATATGTTGCATATTTGGTGCCCCCAAATATGGCAAGAACATAAAGCAAAAGGAGGAACAACCCAAATTAGCAGTGAGTTAAACTTATTATGAACTCCAGCAGTTCCCACTGTATGGGGTTCCTGTTTACTGTTACACATCTGGGAGGCAAACAGCAGAGAGGGTGGCATGCTCTAATTTGAATGAGACTAGTTTCAGGATTCTGGATTAACTGAATCTGAATTATCTGAAAGCTTTACACAAATGTACTACCAGTGGAATCCTTTTTTCTCCTTAGCCATCCTCTTCAAAGAAACACAGCTTGAGTAGGATCACATACACCTTTGTCAGCTGAGCTTTACTCCCTTCCATCTCACAGAACACAAAGCTAGATCACTGCAGTCTCAGATGGGCCTCACAACCCCCTTCTGAGTCCAATGTACCCAACCTGTTACTCAGATATCAGCCCCAGACTTCCCTTTGCTAGAGCTCACGGCCAGAGCTGGGCAAGATCAGAGCGAGAGGGCTGCAGGCTGGGAGCACAGCCTCCTGAATCAGGTTTGAAATGGCACCTCTGTCACAGAGAAAAACTGCTCCCTTCACATGCTGTATACTGAATCTGAATCAATACAGTTTATTGATTTATTTGTGACACAGAATTGACCAGCAACCAGCGAACTATTCATTTGAGATCCACATCAATAATATAACGGAAAAGCCAGAGTACTAGATACTTCCAAAATGTTAATTGATACCCATACATCTCCACTCTCCACAAAAAGCGCTCTCTCCTTCCCACACATACACACAGTTTTACACACACACTGACATGTGGGTTACAAGCATGTGTACCATCTTTGCATCTGGCTGATGCTTGTCTTTATTACATGGTCATTTGGGACAAATGTGTTCTCATGCAGGTTTGGGTCCTCCATTCACATACACTGTTTATATTCCCACTCCTATCTTAACAGCTGTTGTTATCCAGGACATTTTGATAAAGGCAGAGCTGTGCAGACACTGACACTTCTGCTGTTGTTGTTTCAACTGTTCTGAAGGAGAAAATGGCAGTCTGAAAAAGCACATTGAGAATGATGTGGCAGAAGCAGCTGGAGCACAGTCAAGTGAAAGGTATTAAAACTGTTCCATGTGACAAAATTGTCTCCTGATCCTGATCCCTGGCTACCTTTGAAATACATGTCAGAAGGCGCCTGGGCTGTGCACCATATTCCCATTCCTCTGCTTCTTCTCCAGGGGAAGCCTTGTAACAGGGGCAGGAAGGGAGCCCCAGGGAAGTGACACCCCTTTCCCCTTGTAGCCTCAGCCTGTTCTAATTGCAGCCTCTGGGAAGCACTTAGGGCAGCTCTTCTCTCGCAAATGAGAAAGAGCCCAGGCTGAATCAAGGTTAGGCAA